AGCAGGAATTAGACTCTGAATGAACTCTGCCCCTCACAAGGCCATGAATGTTACCCTGCTCTTTCCTCTCACTTTCCGTTCTCTCTGTTTACTACAGGGTCCCTGAGCTCACTGGAGAGAAAGGGGGTGTGGAGTTAGAAAGCACCCCCCAGCGGAGATGGCCACCCTGCAATCCCTCCTCCATTCTTTCAGGAGTTTGGGCACGCTCACACACGTGCCTGGCATGTTTTTCAAGTCACTAACTAGGTCGGAGACTCAAACAGCACCAGCTGGCCCTGGCTTTCCATTCTCTTTAGAGGGCTCTCACCAACTAGTTAGAATTCCTTTGAAAGGTAGAAAACTGAATGGATTCCATGTCTGTATGGCCATCCCTTCTACACCAAACCTCTCTCTCTTCCTTTGGGATGAGGGGTGGAGGGGGCCTCATGAACGTCACTGGTAGACCCTCAAGCAAACCTTTTAGCAGCCTGAACTCAGAAATTTAATCTTCTGATAGAATGCTGTTCTTTCTGGAAGATGTATGTGTGCATGCAGACCATTATTTAATGTATCTTTTTTCTTTTTTAAAAAAATAATTATTTTGTTTAACTTTATTTATTTACTTTTTTAAAAAATTTGACCAGAGAGGGACAGAAGGAAAGTGAGAAAGCAAGTTGCCAGATCCAGGATTCGAACCATGGTGCGGCACATGGGTGTCCAGTGTCCCTGGCCACCACACCACCTGCTGGCCCCTATCTGATGTATCTTGTAGCCTCAGTTTCTCTCCATTTTGAAGTGTAAGAAAAATGAAGAAATCAGGGTGAGCCACGGCCTTGCTGGTTGTTGACCCTCAGCTCCTACTGCAGCCTGCACTTTTCCCTCAAAATACAGGGACTCTTCTGTGTCTTCTGAGCTAGGTTGGAAACTCTGCAGAGCAAGAGTTGTGCATGCTCTCTGGTTCTTCATATTTGCTGTGTCTAGCAGAACCCTGGGCCATCCTAGCTCCTCAATTTGTATTTAAATGAAAGAAGAGTGCTTATCTAGGTCTTGCCGGGTTGTTGATGCTGCAGGAAAATACACAATCTTTAACATCTGTAACATATTTATGAATAGGTGACAACTTACCATTATACAGTTACTGCTTTTTCTCACATAGAGAGAACTGAAATGCACAGAACAATTTTATTAGTAAAGAAGAAAGGGACTGACTAGGTGTGTATTTGTTTCTTCTATCTGTAGCGGGTGCTTCTTGCAGAATGTTGTGAATCTAAGCTAATCAAACAATATCCAATTGAAAATTGTTTATACTAGCCAAGAGACATGTCGCAATTTGTTCATTTGAACGGTAAGTGACTTAAGATTTTATAAGCCCTACAGTAATATTTTTAAGATGAAAAAAGGAAAAAAAGACCTAACAAATGCATTCAATTATAATATATTAATCTCATAAAAATAGACAAAATTTCTAAGATCTTCTCTAAAACTCTCCAGGGAATAGTCACACATAAAATTTAAAACTAATTTTAAAATATCTGGGCATTTTCCTAATTATCACTTCAGAATGACATTGTATAGGTATATTCTGCATTAAGCAGCAATGAAACAAAATTTAATAGATAATCGAGAATTAGCTATATGGGGCTCCGGCAGGTGCTGTGGTGGTTAAGGGCACTGGACTCCCACATGGCCAGCTGTGCTTCGAGTCCCAGACCTGTAGGCTTGCTTTCTCACTTTACCTCTCTCTCTCACACACACATACTCTATCCCTCTCTGGTCAAATTTTTAAAAATAGATAAAGTTAATCATTTTTTCAAAGAATTAGCTATATGGATCAGGCTGTGGTGTGATGGCTTATGGTGGCTGGATCCCACAGTGTGATTTGAGTCCCAAACCTAGTGGCTTGAAAAATATGCCAGGCATAAGTGTGAGCATGACCAAAATCCCAAAAGGGGGGAGAAATGGAGGAGAAGAAATTGCAGTGTGACCATTCCCCATGGGAGGTGATTTTTCACTTTCCCTCTCTCTCTCTCTCTGGCTAGTGGGAAAAAAAAAAAGAAAAGAAAAGAAAAAAGAATTAGGTTATATCATTGTATGCATGTTCTCCTCCAGAATAATGACATAAAAGCAAATTAGCTAAGTGAACAAAAATGATTCAAAGTAAATCTTCCAAAATATTTAAATAGTGTTGAGGATGGGAAAGGTCCTATTCTAAGACAACCTTTGCCAACACCATTCTTCAGCACGACCATGCCCTCCACACACACACAGTCACAGAGGAGGCATTGCTGTGTCAGTATTCGCAGCCCCAACTTTCACTGGGCCACTAGTAGTCAGAGGCGGCTGTGCCACCAGGTTTGCAGTGCTCAGTCAGTCCTCATTCCTCTGCTTCCTGCAGCAGACTTGGAGCAGGGCTCAGGAATGGGATTTGAACCACATCAGTCATGTGGAATCCAGCTCCACATGCCTGGCACTTGACCTCTTTATTACAGGGCCAACCCAGATGGATCTTTTATTTTCTTTTTGGAGAGGTTTTTGCTATAGAGTGTGTATGCTCCCCAGAAAGACAGAGAGAGATAGAAAGTGAGAAATCACCACCCCCCAGGGGTATGGCCATGCTGCAGTCCCTTCTCCATTTTCTTGGGATTTTGGGCATACACGCACACACGCCCGGCGTGAGTTTAAGCCACCAGGTCTGGGACTTGAACTGCAGTTGGCTACATGGGAGTTCAGCGACATGAGAAAGCCCCCCTTGGTAGGGGTGTGGGTGTGGTCACACTGCAATCCCTTCTCCGTTCTCCTCTCAGGATTTTGAGCACACACACACACGCACATGCACACACAGTGTGCTTTCCAAGCCACCAGGCCCAGGACTTGAGCCATGGTCTACCATGTGGAAGTTCAGCACCTTAACATCATGCCACCTGCTGGCTCCAGTAATATACATACATGCATACATATATATATATATATATACATTTATTTTTTCTGAGAGAGATTTTCACTATAGGGTGTGTGCACTCACAGGAGAGACAGAGACAGACAGAAAGCAAGAAATTACCATGCACCCACACACGACTGGCATTAATTTTAAGCCACCAGGGCCCGGGACTCAAATCGCAGTTGCTACATGGGAGTCCAGTGACATAATCATCACACCACCTGCTAGTCCCCAGGATCATATATTTTTTTAAGTAATTAAAATGCCAAAAAGAGAATGTAAAAGGTGGTATACTCCACATGACAATTCAAAATGTGATATGAAATTTAGTGAGCAGGGAGCCCAAATCTTAAGGAATCGTGTAAAGTAATGTGAGAGTAACAACATTTGAGATGGGTCTTACGAGAAAAATAGAATTTTACCAGGTAGAAACAGGACAAAAGACATTCCAGGCACAGATGAAATTACTGGGTATAAAAGTGTGTAGGGACAGTAGTTCAGCTGGGGCCAGAGCATGAAAGCCTTGACCACCAGATAAGGGGGATTGGAACCACTTTCTTAAAATACCTTGCTAATACCTAAAAGATCATCTTAGCTAACTTTTTCCTTTTTAAATAAAGACTTTAATTTTTTTAGAGACCAGTTTGAGGTTCACAGCAAACTTGAGAGGGAAATACAGAGATTTCCCATGAGCACCAGCCTCTTAGCTAGCTTTTACTGAGTTAACCGAGAATATTTGATATCACCTAAACCAGCCTCCTTATTTACACATGGAAACATCTAAGTCCCAGGGGCTGGCAGGTGGCATGGTGGGTGAAGGCCAACCATGGTTCAAGTCCTACACCTGGCGGCTCGCTCTCTCTCTCTCTCTGTCCCTCTCTGGTCAAAATAAAATAAATAAAGTTAAATAAATAAATCTAAGTCTGACAGCATTATGGTGATTTACCCAAGCACACATTTTTCATGGGAACCCTAGGAGCAAAGCCTGGATTGTAGGATACTTTAATGAATTAGTTTTTTGTTTTGTTTTGTTTTGTTTTTTTAAGATTAGGGTGCATGTTCTTCTCAGGAGAGAGAGGGAGAGGCAGTGAGAGGGAAAGTGAGAAGTCATCCTCTAGAGGGGATGGCCAGCTACAATCCCTTCTCTTCCATTCTGCTCCTGAGATCTTGGGCACACATATGCCCAGTGTGAGTTTCAAGTTCTGAAACTCGAGCCACGATGGGACATGTGGGAGTCCAGTGACATAACCACTATGCCATCTGCTGGCCCTCTCCTCTTGGGATTTGGGCACAAATGCACTTGTGCCCATCCGTGATCGTCAAACCACTGTGGTCCTTTGTGGGACTAGAACCACAAAGTCAGCCATGTTGGATCCAACTGCCTTAACCTCTGCCACCTGCTGGCCTCTCCTTTCAGTTTTTTTTTCCCAAATAAGTATTCCATTTAATTTTACTTATCTATTTTAATTTGACCAGAGAGAGACAGAATGAGAGAAAGCAAGAGAAATAGAAAGTGAGAAAGCAAGCCACCAGGTCCTGGGCTTGAACTGCAGTCAGCCATTTGGGAGTCCAGCGCCCCTAACCATTACGCCACGTGCCAGCCTCCGCCTTTCAGTTCTAACATAGACTTGTCTACTAAATCTCTTTACTTGAGTTTCTGATCTTCCTCTTAAACGCTACTCAAGTTTTCCAAGATCCTCTTTGAAGTTAAATTATTTTTTTCTATCTAGCTTTTTTTTTTTAATTTGCCAGAAGGCACATGTGCATGCCAGAGAGAAAAGCGAGGGGGATAAGGAGTGGCAAGAAAGCACCCCCTAGGGGGAATGGTCACACCACAAACCCTTCTCCATCTCTCCCTCCTTTAAGGTTTTCTGCACGCGTGCATGCACACCCAGCCTTTTTTTTTTTTAAAGAGCTGTTTTAGCCATAGGGCACGTGCGCTGGCCAGAAAGACAGCGAGAGACAGAGAGACAGAAAGCAAGAAATTACCCCCCAGGGGGGATGGGCACACTGCAATCCCTTCTCCTCCATTCTCCTCTCTTCTCGGGATCTTGGGCATGCACGCATGCACATGTGCCCAGCATGAGTTTAAGCCACCCGGTCCGGGACTCAAACCATGGTCGACTTCATGGGAGTCCAGCGACATAGCCATTACGCTAACTGCTGGTCTCCACCCAGCCTATTTTTCAAGCTGCTGATTCTGGAACTCGAACCTCGCAGTTGGCCATGTGAAATCCAGCCACCTTAACCACCACGCCACTGACTGACCCTAAAGTTCTCTCTTCTGATATAGACTCTGTATTTAACATTGAAGTTTGTTCTCAATATGTAGATGGCCTATGTCTTTTTTTTCTCTTTGTTTCCAATCTTTGGAGAGAAAAGTGAAATTGTTTTATTAACCTCGTAAGACCCAACTCTATACTATTTCAGGTTCTGGTGTCTTTGGGTCATTTTGTTCCCACAGATGGAGACACTTGATGTTGATTTTTCAAGGCTATTCCTGAGCATTTTCTACTTCAAATCTAGGCTTCCTATCAAAGCTAGTTCCTTGCATTTTCTGTGTAGAGTTTATTGTTGAGCCCACATTATTAGACTTGGGCTCCTGGGCTGGCAGGTGGTGTGATGGTTAAGGGCACTGGACTCCCAGACCGCAGTTCAAGTCCAGGATCTGGTGGCTTTTGCTTTCTTACTTTCTCTCCGCATCCCCACCCCCCACCTCTCACTCTGTCCCTTTCTGATCAAATTAAAATAAATTAAATAAATAAATAAAATAAAATAATTTAAAAAAAAGAAAGAAAGAAAAAAAGAATTGCCTCCCACTTCATTCATATGCTTACATCTCTCTCTCCATGAGCTCCAGGCCCCAGATATTTTGGGTTCCGCTTTGGCAACCAACTCAGGTCTCTAGTTCCTTTCTCAGAGTGGGCCGGTGCCAATTTCCCTCTGCTAGTTTCCAAGGGTTGCTTCAGTAAATTACCACCAACATGGTGGTTTAAGGAACAAAAACACTGGGGCCAGCAGGTGGCGTGGTGGTTAAGGGCACTGGACTCCCACATGGCCAACTGTGGTTCGAATTCTAGACCTGGTGGCTTGCTTTCTCACTCTCTCTGGTAAAATTAAAATAAATAAAGTTAAATAAAATAATTCTTTTTAAAAAAGGAACAAAAACATTATTTTCTCACAGTTAAAGAAGAAGAGAGAGCTGTAGATCTGTGGCCAGAAAGATTTACCTCATTACACCTCATCCCTCCAGCTTCCTCTTCCCCGTGGCTAGACTCAGCATGGGCCACAGAAGGGGGTGTTTGAATGTGCAGAGCAGCTACATTTACCTGTTGCTTGCAGCCAGGAAGTAGGTTAGCTCCAGCCAGTAGAGAAAGGAAGACCATGAATATCAGACTTTGCTACCCACCCATCAGAAGAGGGGTAAGCAAGGGCTGAAGGAGGGAGCCAGCGTGTTACCATAGGAGTCCCTTTGTATGGGAACATCAGGACAGAGAAAAGGGAGTTCCTACCCATGAGTGGTTGTTTAATCGGAAGCCATTCCCTCCTACTTCGGTGTGTGGCCTTCATATTGTTCTGATGGAGCTGGACTTACTCCTACTTAGGGGTGAGGCTTTATGAACCTATGCCCCTTGTAAGAGTTATTGACTCAGAGATGGACAGATGTTCTAAGCTGTCCTAATTAAATGTGAAGTTTAGAACTTTCGTTCAATAGTTGGAGGAAGGAACACCTTCTCACCCTTGCTGTGAATAGACTATACAGTCCAGAGAATTTCTGTAGCCTTACGCAGGAAGCTGGGCCAGGGATGAAGCCAGCATACAGAATGGGGCAGAACCAAGAGAATCACTGAAAAACAAATGATACTGGGCTATTTTTGTGCCCCCGGTGGTTAAGGCAGCCAGATCCCACATGGCCGACTGATGGTTCCAGTCCTGGAACTGACAGCTTGAGAAACGCATGGGGCACAAGTACTTGCATGCCCAAGAACTTGAAAGGAAAAATGGAGAAGAAATTGCAGTATAACCATGCTTTGTGAGGGAGGGATGCTTTCTCCTCTTCCATTCTGTTTGTCTTCTCTCTGATAAGTGCATACACTCTCTAGCAAAATAAATAAATAAATAAATAAATAAGAAGAAGAAGGAAAGAAAAGAGAAAGAAAAAAGATTAAATCACCAATTCTAGAACAAATCACCCAGGATGCCCACCCAATATTTGGAATTTGTCAGTTCACAAGTGCCATTATACAATGCTTTACTATTTCAGCTAGTTTGAGTTATTTTCATTTACTTGAAACTAAAAGTGTACCCTCCAAATAGGAAGATTGGTCTGTCAGGTTTTTTGCAGTTAATATATATATATTGGGACCACCAGGTAGTGTAGTAGGTAAGGTGCTGGACTCTCACATGGCAAACCACAGGTTCAAGTCCCAGACCAAGTGGCTTGAAAATCATACCAGGTGTGTGTACATGCATGCTGCAAATCCCAGCAGGTTAATGGAGAAGGGATTGCAGTACGGCCATCCCCTTCGGGGGGGGAGGTGATTTCTCGCTTTCTGTCTTTCTGTCTCTCTAGTGAATATACATGCCAAAATCCTGTAAATTGTGTTGTCAGAAAAGTTATGACACATTTTTACATAGAAAAATGTCATGACTTTCCTGACAAATATACGTATACACACATACACACACGTATATAATAATATATAATTGGGGCTAGCAGGTGGCATGGTGGTTAAAGTCCTGGACTCTCAGGCCGGAACTGCCATCTTCCAGTAATTAACCAAAATGACGAACACA